TGAACGCGTTACTCCCCGGAAAGGACAATAGCGCGTTCGTTCCCCACCATAGACACCTGCGGTCCAGAGTTTTGCAAATATCTCAGCAACGTTGTGGTTGTATTTCGCTTACTTAGTAACATGCCATGAAAATTATAGAAGGCAGAAAACAAAACGTTAAACAAAATAAAACGATTTTGTAACTCTCTAATCCTGCTAACGTTTTCTTAAGACGTTGTTTTACTCACGTTCACCCCACCACATGTTCTCGAATCGCCATGTATGGGTTATCTGCTGCAGTTAACGTCTTCATGTGGCCACCCTCAATGGCAACCAGTCCTCTCTGATCTCTGTGCCATCACGGCCCGTTCCAGGTGTTCTGCTAGACTATCGTCAATTTCTCCGTGCTCAGATGCAACATTGTTGTCGCGGGCGGCTTCGTTTAAAGTTTTGTGCATTTAAATAATGTATGATATGGGCATAAGAGTGTTTAATTTTTAAAGAAACAGCTTTTACAATTTTCAGGCAATCTCGTTTATAAAAATCTACGACTTTTGAATTTGTTTGTTGAGAATGCCCTGTCTGGCATTGTAGTAAATTCTGATTTAGGCCATTGTATTAAATATTCTCTCAATTATCTATGTTAATATATTCCTTCTTCTAACGCCAAGCCAACGGTGGCGTCAAGTCCCCTGTTTTTGAGAGACCAAGACTGAAACGGTGTGATAAGGTCGTGCGATAGCTCTTTACGTCCATGATCATGAAGTGATGACCGTTAGATTCTCAATGCCATTTTGTTTGATTTTCTACAAATCCAACAGATACTTCATAAAGGATAAAGAATAAAAAGGATAAAGCTCTCGGCGTTGATCAATCCCTGAAGGATGCGCCATACATTCGACTTCATTAAGCGTCGTTTGGAGATGATTGAATGCATATCAGGCCTTTACAATGGCTCGCGGTGGCCTACCGATGTGTAGAGCCAGTGCTGCTGTCCTCCCAGGCAAGTCTGGTACCAATTTGCCGACTCCGGATGGATGGAAGGCTTGTTGAACCTACAGAGAGGAGATCGATTCCCCGTGTGTGCTGCAGGGAGGCCCCAACCACTGCGCTACATGCGCTCTACATATCTTATGTACCGCTTTCTTTCAAGGGAAGGAACAAATTTTTTTTTTTTGGTGAAAACTCCTAGTGATGCGGGTGTTATTGTTCTTCTAGCCACGGTCTTTCAGATGCATTTTCACTCGCATTTTTGAGTTGTTTTTTGTTTAGGTGAACTTGAGGCTCGACATCAGGCCAAAACTTGTTTTCTCACCATCGACACCGCGTTTCCGCAGTTTCCTGGTGCCGAGATGTGGAATCCACCAAATGTATGATTTCATCTTTAATATTTTGAAAAATTCTCAAGTAGTTTCAATATGAACACTTTTGACAACGTGAAGGGGCCTCTGTGAGATTGGCATAGCATTTTAGTGCTAGAGATCACGATATATGAACTCTCTTCTAATAATCTTAAAAAACCAACTTTCGCTAAACCACAGGATAAGTAATGAATACTTTTTTGAATTGCTAAGCAAAGACAAGGCTGGCAAAACGATTTATTCGGCTAGCGTTTCTGTGCCTTCACCTTCTTTGGAGCGGCATTGACCCGAGTCGATGGTCCACAGCTGGTCGTTGTCGTATTGAGCCGAATCCAGTGGAGGGAGCACCACTCGAATGAAGTTTTTATGCTCGATGGTGCCCATTTAAGCATAAGGGATGTTGGTTAATTGCCTATCTAATATTATGGGCTTTAACTTTGATGAGAACACGAGTTTTCTAAGACACTGCCAATGCTATAGGATGCCTTGACCCGCCGAAAAACCAAGTCGTTTTGTATGGGAGACTGATTAACATCTGTCCTATATAAATGGATACCGCTAGGTGTGGAAACTTTATTCGAACGGTTCTACCCTTATTGGATTCGACTAGATGCGATAATGATCAGCTGTGGACCATCGAATCGAATCAACGCGGCTCCGAAGAAGAACGAAGACGCCGAAACCTTAGCCGAATAAATATTTTTGCCCACATCGTGTTGATTTAGTAGTTCAAAAAAGTGTTATGTCCCTAGAGTTCGATGATACCTATTTTTCATCCCTTTATAATAATCGATGATGCAGGTTCTAAGCCTTATCAACTTGGTAGATTTAAGTTGTATTTTGTCTTAGTAAAAAGTTAGCCGCCTGTTGCGAATATTCACTTCGGTCATACTCAAACGTTTTTATGCCTCAGCTGCCTGTTTGTAAACTCTGCCTGTAAGAACCTTGGCTTAGTGGAGGGATTAAGCCGGTTTCATTGGAAAACGTTCAAAGAAAATCGGAAGTGAAGAATAATTGCAAGCCCCTCACTTCGCAGTAAACATTCTATGGCCTTCCTAGATCTTTACCACAGAGATTCACCAGTCTTTGTGGATTGGAGGGAGCTTTCCAGAAAAGTCTGGTACCAATATTCCGACCTCGCTTCAAGGCTCAGTAGTCAGAAGAGTGGATTTGTTAGCTCGGACACTAGGCATGCCCTCATTAGTATTTTCTGGGAGCAGGCACGAATGACCAAATACCGAAGTTGGTTACTTAGTTGACAGCAGTTATGATTTGCTTACAATAGTTAAATCTTATTGACTATTAATATTATTCAACTACCCGCAATAAATTTGGACAGTGAGTTTTGCTATAGTCGGTACTAGACATATCATTCTTTGTCTCGACAACAATCTTCTCCAAAAGTAGCTGAGAGGGCGAATAAATTCAGGGGATCAGTGAAGATTGCCTGAATATGAACATCTGGGTGCCTGCGAATCACGACGGCTCTGTTCTTGTGTGGATCTTCGGAGGAGGTGAGCTTTTAGTATGGCATCAGTATAACATTAAAACTATTCGGCTCCACTATATGTGATTGTGCATTCCCTAGTGGGTTGCAGCCCCACACCCACAGTAATCTGTTTTTCCTCTAGAATTTCTCAAAGTAGGGTGCCTTCCAGCCGCAATGGTGCCGTAAATGGTTGGAAAAATAACAACACTAACTTAGTGTATTAATGATATAATCGTCAGAGTATTATAATATAATGTTATCTTTTTATTTACTGCCTATTACAATTTTTCACGAAAGGTTATTTATGTGTGACTCATGTGGTTGAGTGAACCCCGCCGTGAAAAATTGTAATAGGCAGTAAATAAAAAGATATCATTGTGATTTAGACTACAGCCTCAGCCTAACTGGGTTCGTTGCTCATTTTGGCTCCCCAGATCAATTAAGTTGACGGGTTATTGACAAACAAAACGAAGGACCCGCATGGTGTGGTGGTGAACGTGTTACTCCCCGGAAAGGACAACAACGCGTTCCTTCCTCACCGCAAACCCCTGCGGTCCAAAGTTTTGCAAATATTTCAGCGCTATTGTGGTTAAGTTATTACAATATATTATAATAATGTTTTCAAATCGACCGTCGTTTAACCTCAGCATTTATAATCGGTCGGAATTTCAGCCCAATAAACCTTTTTGTCAACCACATATTAGCTTAATAATCTGTGAAGATATTAAATCAGTGTTGTTATCATTTTTTCTTTTCCGAAAAGATTCTTCCACATCGACTTTTGTCGAAGATCGACAGTTTTGCAAAATTTCAAATAACTTGTATCGCATGTTGGGTGTCCTTCCCATGCACCGTCAGTTAGAACGCTCGCGCTTTCGCCTTGCAACCGCATTTACTCTTGTGCCAGCCAAATGAATACCTGTCTCATTCGGCCTCTTGTTCTCCTAGTAACGGAGGAAATCCAAAGCTTTCGTTCGCTGTTTGTCATCTGTGCAGGAGGCGCTTATAGGAAGCGCTGGAATGTTGAAAGCCTACTAACTTATCTATTCACTTTACTACACGATATTGTTCTGTTAGAACGTCTCAATGTGGCACAGTTTACGTATGGATTGATATTAAACGGGTTACTATCATTGCTATAAGATAACCAAGTTAGGATTATTTTCTTCCGCACTGGAGAGAACGAGTGTACACAACTCTGACCCTCCGCAGGTTTCTTCAGTGGTTCACCCTCTCTTGATCTCTATGACGGCACTGCATTGGCAGCTATAAAGCACACGATCGTTGTGAACATCAATTACCGGTAAGTTTGCTTTTCTTTTTCTTAATATTATAATATGTTAACATATATCTTGATCATTAATCTGATTAAGAATTCTTCCAGTTTGGGACCATTTGGTTTCCTTTACCTTGGCGACGATTCACCCGTGCCAGGCAATATGGGCCTGTTGGATCAGCAAGCTGCACTGCGTTGGTTGCATGAGAACATTGGTGAGTCCAACGTCATCACTGCCACAACTCAATGCAACTCAACAACTTATTCTAAGATTTGAGGTTCGTTTGGTGGTGATTCTTCACGTGTGACACTCTTCGGCGAATCTGCCGGCTCGGCATCTGCCACGGCACATTTGGCAGCTCCTGACAGTTACTCCTATTTCAGTAAAATCATCGCCAATGTGCTTTTATGTCTGTTTCATGCATCGAACTCTTCAATAACCTCGGCAGTAGTTTCAGAGTGGAACAATTATGAATTCCTGGGCCAGCCGGACGCCAGAGACAATGCTGGAGCTGTCTATGAGGTTAGCAAAGCGATTGAACTGCACATCTAAGGGTACCGATGCTATCTCCATTCACAACTGTCTACGTGGTGTTCCCGCCTCAGTTATTCAGGTCAGAAAAAGGATATCGGCCGAAAAATTGTGAACAGTTCTCTTATATTCTGAATGCAAATCAACCTTTTAAGATGAAAATTCGTTTGAAAAGCAATATATAGATAAAAATTTTCTTTAAAAAGTTATATAAAATGCAGCCGGTTCCCATGAAAGAAAAGCAAGAACATTGCGAACCTTTCATAAAAGCAGTGTTTTTTCCAGGCCTTTTTACCCTCAATGATAACCCAATGATAGCTCACCACCAGTGGAAGTACTTCGGCTTTTGTTAATTGTAATCTGTGGTGCAAATCCGAAAAGGGATTAAACTGTTAGCCTGTAACTTCGATGATGCTGAGATAACTCGAAATGCTGATAGATGGGAGTAACGCGTTCACCACCACACCATGCGGGTCCTTCGTTTCGCATGTCTTTCAGCTAGTTCTACCTTCCCCGGAAAGGACAATAGTGCGTTCGTTCCCCACCGCAAACACCTGCGGTCCGGAGTTTTGCAAACATCTCAGCATCATTTAAGTTATATTTCGCAATATACCCTGCCATTTAAAAAAGAGTAGGCAGTAAATAATAAATTAACATTGTTAGCATGCAGTTTTCGCGAATAGTGTGTGCCACAAAACACCTATACGGCTAAATCCAAGTATATTTTAATAGAAAATCTACCAATCCCGATTCTCCAGAAACCACTACCCTATACTATTGCCACAGAAATCCGCCAACCTCTATGGATCAGCGGGAAGCTTGGCCACCTTGCCATTAAGTTTTTTCCTGAATTACAGCGATTTCTGTTGTCAGGAACGTCGAGAGTTCTGGACGGCCTAATAATGAACTTCTTGCTCCATATCGTAGTTCAACACACAGCATCCATTTGCCATGCTATGACAGTAAACAATGAGAGCGAAGGAGAACAGTTTTTACGCGATTCGACACCACATATATTATGCGGACCCCCAGCACTTTATGCATTCGATTCCTTCGCATCCATCATAAACGAAAGTCTTTCGATTTGTGGGTTCGGTGGGTACTTAAGGATTTTTTAGCCTTCTTTTTGAATGCCGTCGAATATTGGTGGAATAAATTGCCTCTCATTCAGTCACCAGCTTTTTTAGATGGTAGTGAGCGAGCTGATGGTACCAGTCTTGTAAGTCTAGAGAAACGAAGATGTTCTTGGTCTGGAAGTGGAATGAGCCAGGACTTGGTGCATATTGAACGGCATAACTACCGCTGGCGTAGTAGAGCCCTAAGGGCGAAATTTGCAAATTTAAAACAAAAATACCGTACTTCTAGAGAAAGAGACCACACTGAATCCATGTCGTGATAGACAAAGAGTAAAATTCCATCGGAAATCAGTGTGTTTGTGTCAAGTCTTTTCGTCATCGTCACTCGAGATTGAGCAAAGTATCCTCGTTGTTACAATTTTAACTTATTATTTACTGCCTACTCTTTTTTAAATGGCAGGGTATACATTGTGAATATAACTTCAATGATGCTTAGATATTTGCAAAACTCCGGACCACAGGTGTATGCAGTGGGGAACGAACACGCGCTGTTGTCTTCACCGGGTAGCAGCGCGTGCTCGTTCCCCACTGCATACACCCGTGGTCCGGAGTTTTGCAAATATCTCAGCATCTCATACGAGTTATAATTCGAAACATACCCTGCCATTAAGAANAGATGCTGAGATATTTGCAAAACTCCGGACCGCAGGTGTATGCGGTGGGAAACGAACGCGCTATTGTTCTTTCCGGGAAGTAGCGCGTTCACCACCACACCACGCGGGTCCTTCGTTTCGCCTGTCTCTCAGCTAGTTCTATCGATCTTTTGCCATCAGCAATCATCCGTCAACGGGATTGATCTGGGGGGCCCAATTGCAATTATAACTGCGGCCTCAGCTTAACTGGGTTCGTTGCCGATTTTTGCCCCCAGATCAATCCCGCTGACAGGTGATTGCTGTGGCAAAGATCGATAGAAATAGCTGAGAGACAGGTGAAACGAAGGACCCGCGTGGTGTGGTGGTGAACGCGCTACTCCCCGGAAAGAACAATAGCGCGTTCGTTTCCCACCGCATACACCTGCGGTCCGGAGTTTTGCAAATATCTCAGCATCTTAACTCTTTTTTTACTGCCTTTTTCTTCTTAATGGCAGGGTATGTTTCGAATTATAACTCGTATGAGATGCTGAGATATTTGCAAAACTC